ATCTTCGAGAATACTGTAGCCCCTCTGAGCTGGTCGAACAGGTCGTCGATGCGAGGCAACGGATAACGATTCTTCACTGTGGCTTTGTTCAACTGCCTGTAGTCGATGCAAAGTCTCATGGATCCATCCTTCTTTCGAACAAATAACACCGGTGCTCCCCATGGGGAAACGCTAGGTCGGATGAATCCCTTTTCCAGTAGCTCTTGCAACTGAGCCTTCAACTCCTTCATCTCGGCAGGTGCTATACGATACGGTGTAGCAGATATGGGTTCTGTACCTGGAATGAGATTGATCGAGAACTCTACCTCTCTCGGCGGAGGCAAACCATGAAGGTCTTCGGGAAAGACGTCGGGGAAGTCGCAAACTGCAGGGATGTCCTGCTGACGTGGTGATTCTTTTCGCATATCCTGAACGTGACACAGGAACATCTCGCACTTCTTGCGAATCAAGCGTCTCGCGCTCATGGACGATATAAACTCGGGAGCCTTGGGGAACACCTCCCCGGAGAGTGACACGTCGCTACCGTCATCGGCTCTCAGCCATACGGTCCGACTACTGCAGTCGACCACTGCTCTATGCTCGGTGAACATTCCATACCAAGGATAATGTCAAACTCCTTGTGTGGTAGCTCTATCAAATCTACAGGGAATTGCTTCCCTTGCACGGACAACGGGCACCTATGATAAATGTGATGAAGACGCATGCTATGTCCTAGCGGATTCGATACAACGGTAGGTATCTCAAGGTCACTCCTCACAATCGCAGAATTAGCAGGCATGCCAACACAGATATAAGAGAGCGTGGAACCCGGATCGATCAAGGCATGCATAACCAAATCAAATAGTATGAACGTACCCAAGATAACATCGGGATTAGGATCTGTGCGCCCCTGCATGGCGTAGGTACGCGCTGGTGCACGGCTTGTCTGCTGCGGACGTGGTCTCTACTGATTATTTGCGGCTGTAGACTGCTGACTCCGTGCTGGATGCGATGCGGTAGGCTGATCCGGAGCTCTAGGAAAAACAGGCTCGCTGCTAGGGTTTGTCGGGCAATGCCTCCTGAAATGCCCTAGCTGACCACAACCCAAATATAAGCCTTGGGCGAGCCAACACTCGCCCTGGTGATGCCTACCACACTGTACACACTGCGGGTGGCTCTTCGTTCTGATCGCGTTGCTAGCGGCGGCCGACGGAGATGGCTTCGACTTACTCCTCTTAGGCGGCGGCGCACTCGAAGATCCCTTCTCGTACCTCTTTCCTCCGAATCCAAAACTCTTCCCGCTCGGCCCGGTGCTGGCCGCAGGTCGCGGGTCTTTCGTCGCTCGATCCTCCTTCTTGGTCGCCTGCAAATCGTCCAAGCTCTTTTCCGTCTTCACACTCAAATCGTACGCCGCATTAAAATCTGTCTTCGTGATCAGCGCGGCGTACGGCCTCAAGTCCGGCCGTAGCTTCTTGACGAACTCATTCATACGATCCTCCGGAGTGGAGACTAGACTCGTCGCATACTGGGACAGGTAGTCGAACTTCTGTCTCAGTTCAGGCAGTGACATCCCCTCCTGCTTAAGCGCAACGAACTCATCGCGCCTCTCCTCGCGGTATCGGGTGGGGACGTACTCTTTCGTGAAAGCTCGATCAAAGCGATCCTAGGTCCAAGGCTTGGGCGTGTGTGGATCCTGGTCAATGCGCTTCCACCAATCATATGCTCCCTTCCGGAACATCTGTGACGCCAACTCCGAGCGATCTGCATCAGGGACTCTCAAATTCTTGAGTACCCGGTCCATCTGTTCAAGCCAATCCAACGCAATCTGGGGCTCCCCCATCTTGTCTCCTCGAAACTCTTCCGCTCCATTATCCTTCAATGTCTTGAAGGTAACGATGCGCGGCTGCGGCTGTGGTGGTGGCGGTGGCTGGAACATGGGCATAAGCTGCGCCATGTGCTGCATATAATGGGCCATCATGGCCGGGAACATCTGCTCGTAGGCCACCTGCGGTATCGCCAACGGTGGCATCACTGGAGGTGGTACGACTGGGGGTGGTACAACTGGTGGCTGTCCCGCTGGCTCAGGTTGATTCTGCTACTGCCCTCCGTCACCCGGAGGCGTGAAACTCGAACCCTCGGTGTTCACCGTGTGCACGCTCACGTGCTCCGGCTCCGGAACGTACTAACCGTGGGTCGATTCTTGACTCATTCTAAAATAATAAGGAAATTCCCAAGTCAGATCTTAACATATAACAGATAAAGCTATAAATACTTATTACCTTCCCGGGGCAGAGGAGTTACGTGAGATGCAGATGCGGCTGAATTATTCATTGTATTTTATTTTGAAAGGGTCCAAAGACCGATTTTAAAACCAAAAGCTCCGATACCAAAATGTAACACCCCAACCCGCGTAACCCAAACCCGTGAGACAGCGGACCGGTGTGCCACTGGATTGGTATCCGAATTTACAACATTTTCAAAACAATTTAAAACAAACATTCCAACAATACATATAAAAATCCATCGGAGTGATTTAAAATTTTGCAGAAGCCTTTTAAAGTCAAACAACTTGGGATCTTGCCCGAAAACGTAATAAGCATTAAAGTTAATTAAATAAAGCATAACTACAGATTAAAGAGACAGCCACGCCATCGTACATCTCCTC